ATCAATCAATTTAATTCAAAAAGTTAGAAATTCATAAACAGATAATGGATATTTATATGAAAGTTATATTTATATCTAAACTAATCTGAATGAATTTAAAGGAGTTTTAAAGGATTATGTATTATTCGTTTTCATAAAACAAAAATGCATTTGCAGACATAATTGAAGGTGTATAGTGCCAACATTCATATAACATATTTTTAAGGTGTATTTTCAATATATATTTCCTTGGCATATATTTTGAAAAATAAAAGTCAACTTCAATGGCAAAAGCCTTTTGTCGCATTTGTTTATTCCAACGTACTGTTGAGGTACTGTTTTTAGATTGTATACTGACCGATTTGGTATTCCTTAGATGAAGTTGTTGCTAATTTTCTCTCTTATTGTTTGACATACGTTAGGTGGTGGATATCCACTTACGATCTGCTTTCCCAGTATTACAATTTTAGGGACTAAGATATTGACTGTTTTATGTAATCAACCAAATGGTTTTCTAGTTCAAAATTGTGGTATGTTAACCTTAGTTTATCAGAACAACTAACGCTCATACGAGTGGTTTCAAAGTGTATCTATTTTTAGTGAAGCTTAGTGAAACTTTTTACTATGGTTTTACCAGGTATACAAATGAGAAGTATATATTAAAATATTTTACGAAAATAAAAATACACAAATACTTATTTTCAGTGTTCAATTTTTACAAATGTATAAATAATTGTATGTACATGGCAATTTATCACATATATTAAAATGCCATAGCATTTAAAGCTATTAAAAGTGGCGCCACTATTTTCAGCTTCAGGATTTTTAACACTTACCTCAATCATTTTGATGATTATTTTTGGTTCGATTTGTTTTTTCGGTATTTGTAAGTATAATTAACAAAAACAATAATACTGGTATGGAATTCAATTTTTTTTTTCAGAAAATATTTTGTGGATTTAATATAACAAGTTTGTTGCTTAAGTCTTCTGTAAGCTTGCTTCTAAACAATAAAATATTGGTAATAAAATAATAAAACAATAGCGAAAATAAAAAAATTACATATGTGAGCCATGTAATAAATAAAGTAATGAAAACATATGGTATCTGCTATACTACTTTGTTTTATTTTTAGGAAAAAGGCAAATTTTTTAATATACCTATCAAGCATCTTATAGGAGTTAAAATAAAATCATTTAGATTATTCCGTCATTTATATTGTTGTCTAAAATAATGTCAAAATGTACAAATGAAATCAATTTTGAAGTTATATCAAAATAATCATATTAATAAAGTTTCTGTAGTTACCTTTTGCTACGAGCTTAAGTAATTCGATATTTAAAACAATCAAATTTATCCACTGTATTGTTTCAGGATGTTGGTATATTGTTGCGATTATCACGTGGTTGTCTTGGATTTCAATTAAGTTTGGCAAATTGAGAGGTGTTTCTAACAAAATGTGGCTTAATTCATCGATCTTCATTACTCTTATTACTCTCCTACACATTTTAAGGAGCTTAATCAGTCCTAAAAATATTTTCAGTTTGATCTGTTGCTTATTATTATCCACAGTCCATTAAACGGTTTAATTCTTAAACATCAATTCCTTTTTTTTACATTTAGTTAGCTTAAAAGGTTATTATAATAAATAATTTGAGCTCATTGCTTTACTTGCTCTAAGGTGTTAGTTCCTTACTAAGGTACTTTATTCCCTTAACAAAAGTGTTTTGACTTCCTCAACTCATAATGTGGAATTTGAGTAATAGACGTTTTTTATATTAAATTCTCACATTATTGTCATCTGTAAGTATTAAAGTTTAACAACTTTCTTTATATTTAATTTTATTTTATTTAGTCCACAATTTTACCACATTTTCGGTTTATTATTTTATTCTTCAAATATATATGTTTATATCAAGATGTAATAGTGTTTATTATAGTAATAAAATTTTACAATATTTTTTCATACTCCTTTAGTATTTATTTTAATAATTTTTCATTAATGTTTGTTATTTGAATTTTTTACGAGGTGGAAGTAATGTTCCACATCTTCAAGTAGAGGTAATGCGAATAAAATTATTGCACATCTTTTCCTGCGAATTTATATATTTCTGATTAAGCCTAATGGTGTTAATGACTGCTATAAATATTTTACAACTTAAGCAGATATATTGCGGAATGCTTTGATTATAGTTGGTAGCATTTTTACGATTATTATTATTTGCTCAGCAGTTTATAAATAAATTTTAGTGAAAATGACTCTTGTTAGTTTTTATTATGTCTGAAAAAGCTTATTTTTTATGATTAAACTCAATTACTTATAATATATATATATATGTGTGTGCATATTTTTTTACATCTGTGTATTTATTTATTTGCCGTAATTACTATATTAAATACAGTCGAATATTATTTTAGTATAAGTTTTGAAGAGCTTTGAAAATGTTTGGTTATAAAATTCAACAAGTTTGTTGCCTAAGTCTTTTGTATGCTTGATACGGCATAAAAAAAAAATTTATATTAATAACCATATAAGTGTTTATGTATTTACTAAAAGCTAAGATTGGTTTTAATTGATTTTAAAATTTTTCATATATTAGCTAATTGATTTTATAGCTGTCTCATGGGGCTTCACTTTATGATTGGTACCTAACTCTGAAACCATTTCGGTATAAAGCATTTAAATTAATTTACAGATAGAGTAATTGAAGTAAATTAGTTAGGCAGTTTAGATTTTTAAAATATATTTTAAAAAAATCAAAATGAAATCAATAATCATGCCAAATATAATAAAATTTAATTATAATAAATATTTATGTTATTAATATATTTATCCTGAACTCGAAATAAGAAACTCAAATAAAATTAAAAGCTTAAGATTAAATAAAAATTTGAAATTAAGTAAAAATTCAATAGCAAAAAAATAAAAACAAGTGCTATAACTGTAAATTATACATTAAAGGCACAAAATTAAGGTTTGATAGCTATATAAAAAATTTGCGGAATCATAAATTTATACTGAGTAATTGTTAGATCTGAAGGACTATGTCTGTATGAGCACCGCTGATTTATTTATTTATTTATTTATTTATTTAACAATATTTGATATTAGATAAGTACGCCCTTCATGGGTTAGTTTGTAGTGACTGATTTGTATACCTTTTCCATTTTGCTCTCAACAATGGGCTGTTGTTGATATCTCGGATAAAGACATTGTTTAAGCGCCAGACCAAGAAGACTACCAATGCGAATATAATATCCAAAGCGACCTAAGAGCTTCACTAACATATAAGCGATTATCATAAGGAAAAATTAATAAAGCATTTTGATTCCAGAAATGAATACAAAAATTTGAGGCAAATGAAGTTTTCCGAAGAAATGAACAAACACTGTCTATTTCCCAATACATTATTACACAAGAACTTATAAGTTATCATATTTAAGGATATTTGACGAACCTTACGTTAGGAATATTGAAAATAAATATCACATATCTACATACAATTTGATGTATTTTATAAACTAAGGAATCTCTTCCAAATTTTATAATACATCACCAAAAAAACACATATATCTGACATAAACATTTCAAAAATAAAAGTTTTTATAATAAATATAAAATTCAATACATGTAATCTTTTTCTTTCAATAGATACAATATTTTTGCTAAAATTTTCGCTTCAAATACCGTTAATTTCAAAAATATGTGGCGTACATGATTGAAAGCAATGAAAAACGTAAAAATTACTTAAATAAACAATTAGTGAAAAAAATTTTACTAATGGGAATACATTTATAGATACTTATCACTATATCGCTTTACTCTATTAGTTTAACTGTCATACTTATAAACAGCATCAGGCAATCGTATCTGCTGAATCAATTAAATTCCAGTTTTAAAGTGCTGATCAAAATATTTGCTTGGCAGTTTTATACAAAAAAAATATTGTATAAAAAAAATAAAAATATTATAAACAAAAATTGAAATTACAATAATATTGTCAAACTCTTTGATTGAATAAAATGATGAGTATTTGAAATATGCTTACGCATAAATATATATACAATGCCTTGAAATAAGTGGGGGGTCTACTAAAGAGATCTTGAAAATATTAGAAAATTATGATTATTAAAAATAATAAAAAATATTAACAATAAAACTACAACAACAGTTAAAAGAAAGGTTCACTAAAAATTACTTGGCTAAGTTTTTTTACCAATAAACCATAGAAGTTCTAAACCAATAAAATTATAAACTTATTCAAAAATTTGCTAGAGCTCAATTAAAGTAAGCATTAATATATACTTGATTAAAATTGATTTTTAATAAAAAAATGTATTGTTCGAAAATGTGCGCAAAAATGACAGTTACTTACAAATTGCAATCAATATTAACACATATCAAGATCTATTGTTTAGATATACAGCTATGTTATTTTATAATAAGAATACTTCTTGCCAAAGAGCTAATTCACTATGTTGTTCCTTAAAAAACTGTTAACACTGGGTCAAGTTGTTTAATATATCGACTCACATTATCTGGAGAGTACTGTAACTGCAAGTGCCACATAACACATATTGAATAAAATGAATCCGGTGTTAAAATTCACTTTTTATACACTACTATTGAGTTTCAGATATAATTGTTTCGTCCAAATTATAATATCCTTTAAAAAGTTCCAAAGGCTTTTTGTAGATTTTTCTGCTGCTTTCACCAACTGACAGAAGAGTGATGTTGTTAGCGAAGGTTACAATTGTGCAAGTTTGAGGTCTCGATAGATCACTAATGAAAATTAAGTACAGTAATAGGCACAGGACGTTTTTTTGTGTAACACCGACAAGAGTTTCTTTTAGAGAAGAGTATTTGTTTCCATATCGAACTTCAAATTAACTAGAACTATTGATTAAAA